AACATCATAGACGGACCCCTGTCTCGTAAACAAGTTTCAAGGGAGAGAAGCAGCCAACAGTTCTTCCAGCTCTGATGTCTATAGTGCCTATAAACCACATCAACAATCAGTGTGAGCCCATAACCATAAGGGAGCTATAGTACCACACACATCTTGACAGTAACCCATCAACTCTCTAATTAGACATAAAAGGGATATTATGGTATTGGAAACATAGCCAGTTCCACAGAGCTAGTGAAGTCATAGATCCTAGAGAACTTGTAACCAATCCTTTACTAACTATACAGTCCCAAACTACATTTGAATATCTTTATACCCACAGATTAAGAGTACTCCTTACTACCGATTTTAGCAAGAAACAGAGACCATTACAAACAAACAAACAAAAAACAATCAAAATGCAAAGCTGCGGAGCCAGCCACAGTGGACACGTTTACAAAACAAAGCTTACACTTAAGGCTCAGGGATTGCTGTGGAGGAGAGCATGGAAATATTTTCAGAGCCGAGGGTCAGGGAGTTTGCTGTGAGATTGTGTCTCACACTAGTGTCAGAGATTACAACCATAAGGTCTCACCAACGTGACTGCCTAACTATGAGTTTAACAAGGGCAACAATAGACAATAGACAGTAGATGGGGGGAGCCTACAGGACCTAGTCCAACAAAGAACCACAGGCAACCAAGGAATGTAGAGAGCAGGAAAATAGTCTCCCCCAGGGAAGATCATCACAATTTGTTATCCAGTACCTAAAAACATGCACCACACATGTAACAATTAATGAAAAAAAAGAGGCCATGAATTTGAACAAGAGGACGATGGGTATGTGGGGATTTGGAGGGCGGAAGGGGAAGAAGGAGATTAGATAATTATATTATAATCACAAAAACATAAGAAAAATTTTTAAAAGTCAACCAAAACATAATTTTTAAATGTAGCAAATGGATGGCTTAGCTCCTTGTGTCAGGAATAGGGAGTTCTATCCAGTCAAGTACTCTTGCTGTCTGCTGCTGTTATATCCCAGAGAATATTATTACTCTGTTCATTCCTGCAACCTTGACCCAAGCTTCTAAAAGAAGAATAATAGACAATTAAAGAGTTATGAACTTACTTACGTTAGTGAATTATCACTCATATCGTAACATGAGGAGGGATGCGTTTGAATCCACAGTTCAAATGAATGGAATTTAAAACCATTTATTAATACTTTAGAAGGCCAAGCTTTAATTTAAAAAATCTAGTTGCCTTTGAAAACCGATAAAAGTTGTAGACTCTCTGTGCAGAAAATATAATTGAGGAAAGCGGAGAATGGGAGAAGTGGTCTTTCCCAGGGAAGAGCACACCAATTTGTTGCTCACTGTCAAATGGACAGCCCTGGAACATACTTACCAGTAACATTTTATGGATCGAACAGATTATTTTTAGGAGTGTGTGTGTGTGTGTGTGTGTGTGTGTGTGTGTGTGCAATAACAAAGCGGTCGTGAATTTGAAGGAGAGCATGTGTGTGTCTTTGTGTGTGTATGTGGAGACTGACCCTAGTCTCTCTAGGTCTGTGGATTGTAGGTTGCTTTCATTTAATGGCTAACATCCATATATAAGTGAATACATACCGTATTTTCAGGCTGAGTCTGGGTTACGTCACTCAGGATATTTTTCTAGTTTCATCCATTTGCATGCAAATTTCATGATGTCATTTTTAAAAACAGTTAAGGAATAAACCAGTGTATAAATGTACAACATTTTATTTATCCATTCTATGGTTGAGGGACATCTAGATTGTTCCCAGTTTTTGGCTATTAAGAATAAAGCAAAAGTCTTTGTGGTAATATGGAGGAACTTTGGGGTATTTGTCCAAGAGTTTTATATCTGGACCTTGTGGTAGGTTGTATAGCTGGACCTTGTAGTAGGTTGATTCCCAGTTTTCTGAGGAACTGTCATATTGATTTCCGTAGTGACCGTACAAGTTTGCACTCCACCAGCAATGGACAAGTGTTCCCCTTGCTCCACATCCTCTCCAGCATGGACTGCCACTTGTGTTACTGATCTTAACCATTCTGACAGGTCTAAGACAGAATCTCAAAGTCATCTTGATTTCACATTTCCCCAATGGATAAGGATGTTGAACACTTCTTTAAGTGTTTCTCAGTCATTTGAGATTCCTCTATTGAGAATTCTCTGTTTAGGTATGTACCCCATTTTTAATTATAGTATTTTGTTTGTTGATGTCTAGTTTCTTGAGTTCTTTATATAATTTAGATATTAGCCCTTATTGGATATGGAGTTGGTAAAAATCTTTTCCCATTCTGTAGGCTGCCCTTTTATCCTATTGATGGGGTCCTTTGCCTTACAGAAGCTTTTCAGTTTCATGAGGTCCCATTTATTAATTGTTGTGCCTGATCTATTGATGTTTTGTTCAGAAAATTTTGCTCCTATGCTAGTAAACTCAAGGCTATTCACCACTTTCTCTTCTATCAGGTTCAGTGTTTCTGATTTGTTGTGGTCTTTGACCATTTGGAGTTGAGTTTTGTGCCTATTGATATATCTGGATCTATTTGCATTCTTCTACATGCAGACATCCAGTTTGATCAGCAGCATTAGTTGAAGATGCTGCCTTTTATCCAGTGTATATTTCTGGCATCTTCATCAAAAAATCAGGTGTCCATAGATGTGTGGATTTATGTCTGAGTCTTCTCTTTGAGTCTGTTGGTCAAAGTGTCTGTTTTTATGCCAATACCATTCTTTTTTTTTATTACTGTAGCTTTGTTGTACAGCTTGAAATTGGGAATGGTGAGATCTTCATCATTTATTATTCAGGATTGCCTTAGCTATCCTCAGTTTTTTTGTGTTTCCATATGAAGTTGAGTATTTTCCTTTCTACGTCTGTAAAGTACTCTGTTGCAATTTTGGTGGGGATTGCAATGAATCTGTAGATTACTTTGGATAGGGTGGTCATTTTTACTGTGTTAATCCCACCATTACATGAGCTAGGAAGATCTTTCCGTCTTCTGCTATCTCCTTCCATTTCTTTCTTCAAAGACTTGAAGTTTTCATCATACAGTCTTTCACTTGGCTTAGTAGATTTACCCTGTAATATTTTATATTATTTGAGACTATTGTGATTTACCTGATTTCTTCTTTATCAGACCATTTGTCATTTGTATATAGGAGAGCTACTGATTTTTGTAAGTTGATTTTGTAGCCAATGAGTTCTCCAGTGTAATTTTTAGGGTCACTTTCACTTACTGTCATATTCTCTACAAATAACAGTACTTTGTCTTCTTTATTTTCAATTTGTATCTTTTTGATCTCCTTCAGTTGTTTTATTGGTCTAGTAAGACTTCAAGTCCTATATAGGATAGGTATGGAGAAACTGGACAACCTTGTTTTATTCCTGATATTCCTGATTGTAGTGGAATTACTTTGAGTTTTTTCAACTTAATTTGATGTTGGCTATGGGCTTGTTGTAAACTGCCTTTATAGTGTTGAGGTACATCCTTTGTATTCCTAATCTGTGCTTAATTTTTATCATGAAGGCATGTTGGATTTTATCAAAGGCCTTTTCTGCATCAATGAGATGATCATGTGGTTTTTGTCTTCCAATTTGTTTATATGATGGAGTGCATTTATTGTTTCTTTTATATTGAATCATCCCTACCTCTCTGGGATGAAACCTTGTTGATCCTGATGGATAATGGTTTTGATGTGTTCTTAGATCTGGTTTGCAAGTATTTTATTGTACATTTTTGCATGTATGTTCATAAGAGAAATTTTTATTATTTAGATTGTTTATCTACTTTATTGAGTGTTAGAGTGAAGTCCTAAGTTCTAAGAATACTTTTTAAATGATCAGTTATAATATAACCAGGGTATAATATGTGTTTGGATACCATAAGTATATTATCTAAAAATCTTCTAAATGAAATCACTGGCAAGAAAATTAGTTTCAACCTTATGGCCAGAACTGAGTCAAAGTTCTCTTGATCATCTGACGAAGGACGGCGATACAGTCGGAGACCCACATTGCAGCACGGGACTGAGCCCCCCGAGGTCCAAATGAGGAGCAGAAGGAGGAAGAACATGAAAAACGAAATCAGTACTGCGAGGGATGCTATCACCCACTGATACAAGGGAACGGATCTGATGAGAGTTTACCAAGGCCAGTTGGACTGGGACTGAAAGAGGACGTGATCTAACCAGACTCTCCGAATTTGGCCGGATTCTCTGACTGTGGCTGACACGAAGTCTTTCTGAAAAGCCATTGACTATGACACTGGGACCTGTTTCCTCTACATATAATGGATTTTGGGGATCCAGTCTGTTTGGACACTCACCTTCCTGGACCTGGAGGGAGGGGGAAGGAACTGGAACTTCCCACAGGGCAGGAAACCCTGACTGCCCTGGGGGACGAAGAGGGAGGAGGAGGGGGAGTAGGGGGAGTGGGAGGGGGGGTGGAAATGGAAACTTTTATAATTTAATAAAATTTACTAAAAAAAAAAAAACAGTTTTAGGGGAGCAAATAGGAACCGAAAATATGTGTGGTACATTATATCTTATCTTCTGCACAATTGCTCATTTCAAATTCAGTTTGAAAATACTTAATTTTAGGGCCCGACTTCCCCCACATACAAAATTTCAATTGTTAGTTTACTTAAATTTAGATAGGTCACTTAAATATTTCTATGTACGGAGAAAAATATGATTTGGGAATCTGTTCTTAAATACATGGTTTTTGCCTTATCATTAGGTTTAGTTATTTGTGTTATTGCTTATTGGTACAGTGTTAGGAAACAACCAAGAGTTTTATCATTCTTGGATTGTATTAATTGAAAGGTGATTTTATATTAAAGGTTAGTGAACTGGTTGTGAAGTGTTACTGTGGTAGAGGTTAGATGGGTGGTAGTTGCTGTGGTGAGGCTTCCTTCCTTTTCCGTACTTAGTAGTGCTCCAATTTACAGTCTGCTTGTTAAAACTGACCTGTCCGTTTCTTTTCTGGTTGATTTTTAGCCTCCAGCTGAGCAGGCAAAAGCCAGACTACAAATGGTCCTTGAAGCTGCTGGTAAGTGTTGAAAATTGACTTTTATAAAATAAAAAAATAAATCCTAGGCTGATAGCATGCTTATATATGACTTAAAAGTTTTTTTCCTAGTTTTAAATTTTTCACAAATCTAGATCATATGTTTGGATCTAGATTATATATTTGGATATAAGTCACCTATTTATTGCTAATATAAAGTGCTAAAAAGTCATTCTTTACATGTTTATGGATAAAACAGGTATTAGTTTTAAAGTTTAATTTTAATAAAATACATGTTGATTTTTATCTTTTATGAATTATACTTTTGGTGAAATAAAAAAATTCATTAACTCTAGACTATGATTTTTTTCTGAAATTTTCTTTTGGAAGTTTTTTTTAATTTTGTAATTCGTATTTAAGGCTTTTATCTTTCTACTTAACTTTTGTACAGGTTAAAATTGATTAATTAAGATTTACATTATTTTGGAGAAAATAAGGCCAATGCTATATTAAATTCCTCTAATTCCAATATGCTAATTCATTGGCCAGTGTATTCTGTTGCCATCTAATTTTAAAATGCTATGTTTAATTTCCCAGTGGTACAGTTTCACAAAAACATTTACCTTTTTAAATATCTCTAAAAATCCATGCTGTCTTCTCTATACTAATAATTTAACTTTAAGTCTAAATGTACTCTTTGATGTGTGTGTGTGTGTGTGTAATTTACCTTTTAAGGATTACAAAGAGATTATACATTCCATTCTGACAAATTCAAATTGAGGATTCAATGATAATTTCAGACGACCAAACAACAGATGTTATATTTTGGAGCAAATACATATGTGCACATTGACTCTAGAATCTCTTGCAGTAACTATTGTTATTATAAATTATTATAGAAATAGGTTTTTGAAATTATAGGGTACTAATATATAGACTAGGTTTTTATACCTATATACCTTGTGTTGAATTGCTGTATGAAAACTTTGCACTGCCTTGTATTACCACTACTTCAATGACCACTTTTTAAAACCGGACTGCTGTTTTTCATGCTACTACTGTGAATAGATTGATGTGAAATGATGTGATGTTTTATTTTTCTTTGAAAAGTGTCCAGTGTTACTTTTAATGATACTTTGTTGCCTCAGAGGGAAAGTAGATAGCTGGGCGGTGTGGAATAGCAGTAAACATACACCATGGAGAATGGGAGAGGAAGAGCTTGAGTTCAGTTGGTAAAGACAACCTTTACTTTCAGTGGTTTCTCTTCATCTTCCTTGTTTCTAGCAACCACCAATCTGCCTTCTGTCTCTGAAATGCCATATACAATATGTGAGTTTTTATATCTGTTGTGTGGTCTGTTTTAGATGTATATTCATGTTGTAACATATCAGTAGTTCATTTCTTCTTATGGTTGTGTACAATTTGTTTGTGCATTCATTCAGTGATAAAAAAAATGAACTCTGTTAAGTAGTGTTGAATAATGTTGTTATAAATACACAGTCTAATCTGAACACCTGCTTTTAGTTTCTGAGAGTACTTTTGTAAAGGAATAATTGTGGAATCATTTGGCAATTCTTCAATTCTTTAAAACCCCAACAATTTTCCATACTAAACAAACAGTTTTATATTCTCAACTACAATATACAAAGTTCCCTATTGTATCAATTAGAGACTATTATCCATTTCAGCTAGCTGTTTGAAAGTCTTTAGATTTGGAGATTCTCTGTGCTCTAAGTCTGAACTTGTGAGCTATGAGGGATAAGGGCTGCTGTGACAGCAAACAATATATGAAGGCTGTGTGCATGTCTCTATCCTTCCCTCCCTCCCTCCCTCTCTCCCTCTCTCCTTCTCTCCTTTTCTCCTCCCTCTTTTCCTCTGGCTCTCCTTCTCCCCCTCCTCTCTCTGCATCGCTCTCTGTATTAGTTCCTGTATCTGTAGAAGGAAGTTTCTTGATGGCTGAACAAGACACTGACTTGTGGATATAATAGACTATCATTAGGAGTTATTTTATTGCTATATTCCTTTAGCAGAGCAATAGTGTTTGGTTTTCTCCTAGGTCTGTGTCCTATCTGGTCAGGTTTTTAGCCACTCTAGCAGTGGCTCGACATGGGTTCCATCTCATGGTGTGGGTTTTAAATCTAATCAGGTATTGGTTGATTACTTCCAAAAGCTTTATCCCACCATTGTAGTTCTCTGTCTTGAAGATAGGCCCCTATTGTAGATCAAAGCTTTGTAGCTGGGTGGTGTTTACCTTTCTCCTCAGTGTCATGCAGAGTGTCTTTCAGCACCTTGAACACTAGTCAATAGGGGTGAAGGCTCTAGTTAGAGACTACCACCACCTCTCTGTGTTCAGCGAGCTACATAGGTGTTCTTTTCAGCAACAAGGCCTTGCCCTCAGTTTGTGGAAAGCAGTAGCAGTTTTGGCTTTGCCTGTGTTGATGGGGTCCCCGTGTGGCTCCTGGACCAGCAATTCAATTAGATGTAAAACCATTTCTGCACTGGGAGAGTCACGTGATGGTGAAAGATGTCTAGTTGGGAATTTTTCTTCCCCATTATTCGGTGATTCCATTTTTATTTCTTTCATATATGTATATGTTTCAAGCAGTTTCTACTGTAGTAGGTTTCCATGTGATTTCTCAAATGACCCTTAGTGTTAGCTGTCACTCCTTCCAGTCCCTCACTTATCTCCCTCCTGTCCTTTCTCCATTTTATCCTCCCCTCCATTGGGAAATCCTTCCCTCCTTCTCTTACTCTGTACCTACCCTCTGCTGTTGTGTGGGTTGTAGAAAGCCTGTAAAAGGCTTAGCAGCTGACATTCACATATAAGGGAATACATGCCATATTTGTCTCTTTTGGTCTGAAATTTCTCACTTAGGATGATTTTTTTTAGCTCCATTCAAATTTTATGATTTTTAAATTTTATGATTTTGATTTCTTTAAAAGCTGAGTAATATTCCAGTATGTAAATGTACTACATGTTCTTAATCCATTCATCTGTTAGTGCACACTAGGCTTTTTGAAATTTCTGGCTATTATGAATAGAGCAGCAGTGAACATGGTTGAACAAGTGTCTCTGTAGTAAGATGTAGAGTCCTTTGTATGTGTGCCCAAGAGAGTAACAAACTCGAAAAAATTTATTGCTTACATTTCATAACTGTAACCTGGAATTATTCCTTGAATTGCCTATGTTTTTTTCTACCTGGAACATTTTTCTCATGTCTTGTTTTGTTTTGTTTTCTCCTATTACCTCTCTCCACTAGTTTTTTTGTCTATATCATAACACCATGATAAAATTCCAACTATTAATCTCTGATAGATAAATCATTATCTATAATAACTTGAACTAATATAATATATAATATAATAACCTTAGAGGTAATAACCTGAAAGTTTAAGCCTTTGAATACTTGCTACTGAGGGAATTAGTAGGCGTTAATCAAGAAACTATGACTAGAAGCACCATATTACCCAGCACATTTGCTGGAGGGACTTTAATGAGTACCACAGACATACTTGCACTTCTGTATTCATTGCTGCGTGTTTCATAATACCCAGAGATGGACCCAGCCTAGATGTTGGCAGATGAACAGACAGAATGCATATACAGTGAAATTTTAATTGACTGGAAAAAAAATGAAATCATGACATTTGCAAGAAACTGTATGGAACTGGGAATATTAAATGAAATAAGCAGTCTCAGACAGCAAAATACCATGTTATATACAGAATTTAAAATTACATATGTGTGTATATTTGCATATATGTGTGCAGATTATGAAGCTAGAACGGTGATCATGAGCATGTTGGAAGAACTCTTAATGTGGGGATGCAGAGAAAATCATAGATACATAGGACATGAAAGGAGAATGGATGGCTGTCTAAGGGGGGGGAGCCAGGCATGGGGGAAACTAGGACAGGGAATGATTGATGAAATCTCCAATTGCTTATTACTTTATATGCTCATCTAAAAAGTGAATTTAACAGCTTCAGAAATATTTAAATGCTAATTGTAACTGATGGATGAATTTTGTGATGTTCCAAAAAATAAAGTTTTTGATGATTATGAGATATTATGACTATATAAATATAAACTCATTAACCTTAAGTTAGATCATCACAAAAATATTATGAATAGTACTTTATCATCTAAATAATGCTCATGACACTTTGAATTGTGCCTCAAGTTTTCAAAGTACTTTTATAAATCCTTTATCTTAGATAATTACCTCCATTTTACAAGAATCATGAAAACTTGCATAGCTGATTAGGAAGCAAATTCAGTGATTTCTGACTTTTGATTTCTTACTCTTCTTAGTTTCAATGCTTGAGCTTTATTGGTCAGAAAACAGAGTGACAGAGAATATTGCAAAATGCATAGTTTGTTTTTGTAGATTTAATATGTATATATATATATATTAGTACAATAAGTTCTAGCTTCAGATCTGCTTTAGATTCTGAAAGGTTTTTGATTGATAATGCAAAAAGATTAAAGTTCAACTCATGAGAAAGTTTTTTCCCCTTAATTATATAGAACATTCATAGTATCTAATTGTTTAACTTTAGAAAATCTAGGTTATTGTTGCAATCTTTGATTTCCTGTCCTAAATCTAGGTGTCTCCATTTCAGTGACATTTCCTGGGCTGAAAGTTGGTTAATGTTAAACACAGATTAGTTGAATGCATATATTCATTAGTATCCAAATCAGAAGTCTTGCTTAGCAATATACCATAAATGCCGTAGTTTCTCTGTGTTGAGATTTGCCTTCCCGCTTACTCATTAGGTACTCTGAAACCAAGTCTTGATCCTTCCTTCTCCTTTTCATAGACTTCTGATCTCAGGAGTTGCAACACTAGTTTCAGTCTAGCACTAAATACTTATGATTCCAAGAACTACAAATGAAGATAATTGATAAGGTTACTACTTCAGGGACTGTTGAAAGCTCCTCTGCTTTACTGTTTTACAGCTGACAGAGAGACTTGCTCCGTAGGTTTCTGACCCCTGAAGTAGGATGATTTGTTGTGACAGAGCTTTCATGTTAGGAT